CATTAAATGCGGGCCGCATTTCAGAATAAGCAGCTTATCCTGAAACGCACAAGTTACCCAAACACACCGTAATTTTTATTGGACGACTACTTCATTTTGAAATCTAAGAAAAGTTTTCACTATTACAGAAAACAATTTCTAAAAATGACATTAACCCCTTTTCATGCAAAGGTAAGCTGGTATGTATGTGCTGTTTGGTTGGCACGTTTCACCAGTTTATCCGAAATCGCGTTTAAGTTTTTACACTAAATGCGGACCTCATTTCAGGATAAGCAGCTTATCCTGAAACGCACAAGCTGCCCCCAAACGCACCCGTAATTCTATAAAATTCGAAAAATTTTCATTGAACCACTACTTCATTTTGAAATCTAAGAAAATTTTTCACTAATAGATAAAACAATTTCTAAAAATGACATTTTGAAAGATTGGTCAACAGATTAATGAGAATAATGATGAACTGTGGACAGATAATGCACCACCAACCTATCAAATTGCAATTAAATGAATTAGAAAAGTTTAAAATAAAAATATCTTTTTTGTAGGATTTATGGTTGTATGTGAAAATGAATTATAAATGGAATAAATCAACCTGATAGTTGGCCGTGTGTTTGTCAGTTGTGGGAGAGTTGGATTAAATTGATATTTGAAAAAATAAAAAAGTTATTTTTCTTATCATTTAAATTAAAATTTTAATCTAAACTTTATTGAAAGAATTTGATTATTATTTATTTGATTTAGTAGTATATGAAAGTATGTGGATCTTAAAAAATAAAAAATCAAAATTTACGAAGATTGATTGGTACTTAGAATCAAATTTAACTTTTCGAAAAGCTTACATTTGTATCATATTACGATTCCTTTATATTTATGTATCTATCACGTATAATTTGTTATTTATGTTTATAATACTTTGGTGTCATAAATATTCTATGCATGAAAATATATACTTCGCTTTTAATAAGTTAAGAATAAGAATAATTTTGAAGTGATATTAAGAATTAAAATGTTATGTACATGCAAACATAAGAGTTTAGTTAAGTATTATATATGTAAATACATAAGAATTGTATGATGTGTGTGTGT